ATAAAATGTATTTCAAAAATTAAAGACAGTAATAGTAAGATAGATTATAGAGTAATGTTGAGTAAATTGACTGCACTCCACCCCTGAATTAATTCATTTAAATTAACCTGAAATCTCGGCTTCCTAAAGCAAACATTGATCACAAGACTCTTCAAGTGAGGTCAGTTAAGCCTTCAAGTTTTTGTCAATTCCTCTGTTCGTTCATTTGATCAGATGGCTTTATTTTTAGACAGAGTACAATGAGACAATAATTCCGATGGCCAGTTCACCGTTCTGACGACAGAATTCCCAATGTATTTAACACACCTTTTATGTTAGAAATTTGAAGATGTTTGAAATTTCCTTCAGTAAACATTTTCTTTCATTAGTCGACTGTGTTGACTGACTTTCACTCTAGGTGTCTCGACTAAGTGGTTTAAAAGTAAACCTTGGAATCGGCACAATGATCATTCAAACCAGTCAGATAGAATTAGGCAATTTTCACATATGTTGTTGACAAGACTCCTTCATCGCAAGTTATCTCCATTTATGACCCAATTCTATCCATACTCATATATTTTTTACTAGATTTTTAAGTTCCCACATTGTGTGTGTTAATTGGCCTAATCCTAGTTTAAGTAGCTTACACATGGCTAACTGTGGAAGCGTATGGACAGATAAATATCTTCACACTAGGATGATTAGATTTACCCAACATTTGCTGTGTGTTGGCTATCAAAGCTTTTATGAGTAATTAGATTTCCAGTAGGTTTTGCAGGAAAGCAATGGGCAGTAATGATTGTTTATGCGGCTCTCTGGAAGCAAACAGGACAATGTGCTGTGCAAGTAGGCTTTCATTAACAGATTTAACCAAAGCTTGATTCAATTTCTGCAGAAATAAAGTTGTTTATTGTGTCAATATCGTAATGGTCCATTTGAGACAGTTAGTCGTGTTTAACTTTCTCTGTTAACGATAAAGGCTTTTTAATAATGCAACTGAAATGCCTGCAATGCAGTTGTTTGGTGGAAAATCTTGAATCCTGGGACCTGTAAGTGAATTAGTCTCATCTAGCAGGGACATTTTTTGACATTTTCAAAACAGCCTTGTTTTGTTATTATAATCTATTGGAAGACACACACATGCCTACCAGATGTTAATTTCACTTTTAGCCATAGCATCAAAAGATAATATATAGAGGCATTTGGCAAATAAACACAATATGGTGTTTTAATTCATCGCTCAATAAAAGCATTAATTCGTAATTATTCCTTTGAACATTTTAATGAAAGTGTGAATACTGGTTCTAGAATTCTGCCTTCAATATGAATATTCTTTAAAAAATCTACAAAATTTTGATAGTATATAAAATATCAAATTTCTATTGCAATACACAATACACAATTATTACTTCAAGTTATATTTTTTAAACTATTAACTTATTTTATCTGTTACTGAGTGTCTATTTTGTGGTAAATGTCATTTTCTGTTCAATGCTTTATGGTTTAAGGAAAACTCTGGTGCTGATTTTGTTGATTATATTTATGTAAGTAAGTGGTTGCTCAAGGTCCTATTTTACCCTGAATTTAAGGCTTCATTGATGTTGATGTTTTAAAATCAGTAAGTAAATTACTGTCCACACTCTTGTTGATCCTAACATTTGGAGCTTAGATAGTTAAAATAACTGTTCATACTCTACTTGATCCTGACATTTGGAGGTTGGAAAGTGAAAGAATTCTCCCCATTCTAGTTGATCCTGATGTTTTGAAGTTGATTTTGATGTTTTGAGCTCAGGTAGTAAAAATGTTCTCCCCACTCTAGTTGATCTGATGTTTTGTGGTTGATCCTGATGTTTTGAGCTCAGGTAGTAAAAATGTTCTCCCCACTCTAGTTGATCCTGATGTTTTGAGGTCAGGAAATAAACTGTTGGCTATTCTCTTGTTGATTCTAATGTTTTGAAGTTGATTTGGATGTTTTGAGCTGATGTAGTAAATAGTTTACCATTCTCTTGTTGATCCTGAAGTTTTGAAGTTGATTTTGATATTTTGAGGTCGGGTAGTAAATTGTTGGCCAATCTCCTGTTGATCCTGATGTTTTGAGGTCGGGTAGTAAATCGCTGCAGACAGCCATTCACTGGCTGTAGTTATTGATGTGTTACAATGTTTGCCATGATAAGGCCCAGTCCATCTGCAGGAGCTTACCATACTAATCTCCCCATAGTTTATTTACCACCAATATAATCGATGAAGTAGTTTTATGTTCCATGTATAGACAAGTCATTTTCTGTGAGCTGTGCTAGCTCGTTTCCAATGCATTACCATGGACGCAAAACATGGATGCTGAATGTTGGCATGAGTCGTCTGCTTTTAATCCAAAGGAACCTGGACCTTTTACATCATTCCATGTAAATATTAAACATCATTTTGACTTACGATCAGACCTGAAGCTACCATTGACATTAATGACGATTTATTCTGTGGGTTTAATGAAATTTTCAATGATTTTCGCCAATGAAAGTCTGCTACATGGTTGATTACATTCTGGATTGCTGGGGAACCAATTCATTTGGTGTTGGTGATGGAGAGGTTGGTTCATGTTGGTACTGACAACAGCCCCTAGGGATGGCCGTACTAATTGAAAAACAAAATTGGCAGGGCAGCGCATGTTTAACTTGCTGAGGTTTTGTAGAGAAAAGCTAGTTTGTTGGTTACTTTTGTCAGATTACAAAGATGCTAAAGTAAAACATGTCTCTGACTCTAGTGGTGACGGCAAACAGATTGTTCTCACCTCGGCATAGGTTGAGAGATCTGCTGTATGATTGGTCAAAGGTAGCCTCCCTTGGAAGTACACAGTGTGCAGATTCCTATCAAGATGATCGGTTTAGTGAAACTGACATGCGGAAAATTGAAGAAATTAGCTGTAAGATAAAACAAAATTTGGTTTCAATCTCTGCACATGTACAATCTGAATGCTTTCTAAAGAAGGTGTACTGTTACACCGAAAGATTTTTGTGATCTGCTTCAATATAGATGAAAATTGTAACATGACATTTATGTGCATTGAAAACTTTTTAAAGAACAAGATTACTGGAAAAAAATAAAAAAATCTGATAGTAATTCTGATTAAGAATGTGCTACATAAGAGGTGGTTACAAGACACACTTATTGGGTAGATGAGGTGAAGGAATGTACACTTTTCATCCCAGTTTCCTTTTAAACACAAAATTGGAACTTACTGTCAACTGTATACACTATAAATAGATCGGCGGTGGTTTCAAACAGCTGTAACTGTTAACTGTGACAGCTTCTATGCTGTAGGTGTTTGGGCAGGATGGACTTGTCACTGTTGTCAGTGATGATGCCCAGTGCTATAGGCCCCAGACCTCCCATTTTAGCCAGGTTTTGGTTGGCACAGGCAGCCATCGTTAGAATGAGACAGACTGCCAGTCAAGAAGGTGTCACTACTTTCCTCTCGCCTCATCAGAGAGAGCCCCCTCCCACCAAGCCCCCTCTCCCTCCCACCAGCGAGTCAGCCATTAGATCACACACTCTGTAGCATCAATCTTGAAATAATTGAGTAACGTTCATTTGTCTATTCATGGTACAGACGCTACTGAGTCTTCAGAGAATTATCTTCTCTAATTAGATTTTCCCTCTCAGTCAATCAAGGTTTATACACACTTCTCCTGTCTCTTGACCGGTGACTGTTTTAATACCCAGAACAGCCACATCTTTGTGCCAAACTAACAATCCTCGGGAGTCCCTCAAGTGCTGCTGAAAACCACATCTCAGATTGGAGCAGCTTCCATTAATCCCCCATTGCCCTTTCCAAACAGCAACGCCATCTTTCTTCATTTGTCAACTAGTCCTTCCCCACGACAGTGTATTAGCAGTGATGCTGTGTAGAAAATAGGCAAAGGGGTGAGCAAACGGGGCTCGCCCCGGCAATGGTCGGCACTGTCATTGTTGTCCTATGGAGCGAAGTATATCGGGGCTTGGTGATCAAGACAGAATTATTGTGATTGTGACATGCAAATTAAAACTGTCTGTTGATGGTTCCTCCAAGCTTTAATTACAGACTTTCATTTTTTTTTCATTCTTTATATTATTTTTTTTCATTTTTTTTTTTTTGTACTGAATAGTTCTCTGTAATTATCGTTACAGAGAATAGAAGGAGGATTAATTAATTAGTAAGGGCGGAGACATAGGGGGTCTACAACACCTTAAGTAGTGTCCATGTCAGCTACCATCAATTACAAGCACGGCAAATAATTACATCTTCTGCGTTTGTAGCATTTTCTTCTGCTCATGAAATCAAAAGAAATCTAACTATATATAGCCCTGATGATTGGAATTCTGGCAGTTTCATCTTCTCAGAGCATGTAACATTTTTCTTAACAGATTGGAAGTCTTAAAAGATGGAGAAAAAAAATAGTTTCATGGATTTATATTGAACTTGACATGCCATTTATGACCTTACAATATTCCCTGTTGATTAGCAGTTTTAGAGAATTAGATTGATCACATCACCTTATAAAATTGTCAAAACAGCTATATTAAACTCTTTTTAAGTTATTCAGTAAATTATGCTGAAGGAATGAAACACTTGGTCCAGAAAATTTTGGGCAGGGGGGTGCTGCACATAAGGGATATGATGCCTATTTATAGGTCTAATACCCTATTTTAAATGAATAATTTTCTTTCAGATTGTTTTCACTCTTTATGGGACTCATTGAAATAATCTGAGATAAAGAAATGGCTATTTTAATCTTCTGTGTTTTTATAAGTATGTTTTGTTCTCCCTTATGATCATGGATGATGTTGGTAGTTTCACAGCGTTAATCAGGGCTTGCTCAGAATTCTTATGTAATTTAATATGTGTGCATCTTTTGACATTGTTCCCAGGGTGGGAAACTTTTTATTATTTATTTCTAATTTATGAAATATGTATATATTTATGTTTTTATTGTAGTTGGAGGATGTTATTTCAGGTATTTATTTAAACTTTCTTTTAACTCTTTTAGGACCCGCCTTCTTCAGTATCACTTGGTCTCCGTATGGAAGAGATGATCTTCAACCTAGCAGACACACATCTATTTTTCAATGACTTAGAGGTAAGCTATTCACAACTTCATGATGATTATGATGATGATTTTATTTGGGTTTATTTTATATAAAGATTTTGTGTTGCCTATTAGCACTTTAAGACTGACCTGTCACCAGTGTCAAAACACCCACTTTGTGCCTTTATTTAAACATTCACAAAATCTGATGTGTTCAAAAATTCAGATTAGATCTTAATTTGAGGTTCCAATGGGGTTACTGATTAAAGCTAATACATTGATCAAATTGTGGGGTCCCCAGGGAGCTCTCAATTTGAGGGACGTAAACACTATCAAGGGAATCTGGCCAGCATAAATTCAATTTCAATTAATTACACAAACAGTCCCCATTGGAGCCCCTGTTAATGTAATTGAGCCAATCATCTCTAATAAAGTGTTATATATGACACTAAACTAGTTTGATAAGAAATCTACCAATTGCTATGATGTGGTAATGGACAGCTTGTCCCTAGTGGTCACTCCCGATGGTCAAGCCCAAACCAGACTAAATTCCCAGCTGGTCAGTTTTTGGCAAGCTAACAAGAAAGTGACCTATGGCAAGAGTGATTTAATGAGAAACATAGGGTTCCATGTCCAAATTAAGTTAGGACTGGGCAGGTCCTGGGAGACTGGACACTGCTGACCAGTGTGGCTGGACCAAACTTGACCACTGCATCTCCCTCCCTAATGGTCAGTGTCAAACTTTGACCATAAGAATAACTGGACAATTGTCAAACTGTAGACAATGCTTCTGACATTGCTTCTATTGGTGTGGCATAGATCAAGGTTGATTAAGTAGAATGACTTGTGAGATGAAATCATTTGTGACCCAGATGTTGAAAAAAAAATGAAATATGAAAGATTATCATATTTCCTATCTGATGGTGATTTCTACTAATCCCTTCACATGTTATATTGAATAAGGATATTAATAGTCTTGAGAAAAATGGTTCAAATTTCATCTTTTGACCCTGGTATATATAATAAAGCTGAAAAAAGGAATACTGTCGTTTGGCTTGCTGAAAGCATTTTGGTCCCTTCAACAGAGAAAACTTAATATTTGTGATGGATTTATGTATCAATGGCAAGAAAATATACTGTTTATCACAGTCAGACAAAGAATGCAAAAAAAGTTATGAAAATACTAAGACCTAATTTTGTAAGATTTTATAGAAAGAAATATTTCATATAAAAATCCTAACTTAAGCTAGCTATACTTTAACACTGAGAACATGGCTGTGTATTTGTTATTTTCTTATTTCAATCATAACATTTACTTCAAAACCTAATTACTGGCAGTGCAAGATTGTTCACAACGCTTTTAAACCATTTACCAATCCACATTCCACAAAACTTTCCTTGTATTAAATCGTTTGAAATATATCAAAACCTTGTTTAGACCCCTGCTATGATGTCCCGTTTAATTTCCTTCAAACATGTTTTCATTGTAAAATTGGACGTCCACTGAATGGGAGGGCTATGATACATGTTGTTACTAGCCAGCTATTTCAAACAGTTACCATTTAATTTAGCTAAAAAAATACTTAGGCCAAAGCTGTTGTTCCCTGACATTTTTGGCCGATCACTTATCATATAGGTACCTATCTTGTGTTATCAACGGCTTTTGTACTCTTTTCGATCAGTTTTTCAGAAGCGTGGTAATTATTTCTTTTGTGAAGAGAGGGACAGGGATTTGTGGCGTTTGAAAAAGGCATTTTAACTTTACAAGGAGGGGGGAATTCCTATGGTAATTGTGTAATTACTGAAGTCTCGGGCACCTTCAATACAGTTAGGGATGCCAACACCCCTTCACTCCACAATCATTAAAATATTTAAATTCCCCAATGTCTTTTTCACAACAGAGTGTCTGCGCGCACATCACAGGAAAGGCATGGCAAATGTTGTATTATTAAAGAATTAAAGGGTAAATTGGTAGTGTTTACAATCCGACGGTGTAGGGAGGCTGCCCTGGGCCTCAGAGCTCCCCCATCATACAATAAATGGCCCAGCGATCAGCGCCATCACTGCTACACATTTCGCCTGCAGGAAAGTTTCAATTTTGAGCTTGTTAAAATGTGAATGGTATGGTACTTTACAGTTTAGGGAATCAGATCTGCTGCGATAGACTTGTGTGGACAAATTACTGTTTGGCACGCTCGGCTGCTTTTCACTGGATTCTAATAGAATTTTATGAATTTATTTTTTGCTCATGAAATTTAGATAATTTGATGCTTTTTTGAGGTGAAAAGATGGAAATGAATTTATGGGTCACTTTATAAATTGTCTGTGAGCCTAAGAGAGATGATGTGGCTGATGCTATCAGGGACTTTAGATTTATATCCGTGATAGCATGATGGACCTACCCTCTTCACCAAGGTATACAAAACAGGCTGTTTCTGACACTTTATGTGAGGAACTGGCTATATGGAGGTTATAATGACAGGAATGGAGGGGACCCTAGATGGGGGAGGGGATGCACTACTAAAATTAAAAAAAGATTTGTGACAATAGCGGCAAAGATACTTTACGGTATGATACACATCAGACATAGTTCATTGTACCCAAAATAGCTAGCCATGTACCAGCAGCACTGTCCTATTGTGAAATGACATTAATTTATTTTCAAAAAAGATTTTTTTTTTATATATACACTACAACCTGTGTGATTTGGACCCTGAACAGTGCAGAAACTTGAGTAATGCAGACCTATAGATAGACCTTAAGTTATGTCTTTCAGTATCTTACCCTGTATATTCTGTAACCTGTTCAAACCAGACCTTCAACTAGGTCCCAATGTATACGTTTTCTATGTGACCCTGTATAATCTGGATACCTGTATAAACCAGACCTTTAACTAAGTCCCACTGTATACATTTACCTGTATAAACCAGACCTTCAACTAGGTTCCAATGTATACGTTTCTATATGACCCTGTATAATCTGTATACCTGTATAAACCAGACCTTTATCTAGGTCAATCTATTTACATTTCAGTATAAACCTGTATGATATGGACACCTGTATTAACCAGAACTTAATCTAGGTCCGTCTTTTTGAATTTACATGTAATCCTGTATATAATCTTTGGTACGTGAAAACACCTGATTTCAGTCTCTGGTGGTGTTTGATTTAGAAGAGATTCATTGTACACAATTTATTTATTTAACGTCTCAGCATAGAAAATTAAAGAACAGCTTAAAATAGCTCAAAATGTTGATGAGACGTCTTCGTGATTTATAAGTGACACATGACATTTAATTATCTCCTCATTGAAGAATTAATGTATCTTATATTGCACAAAAAGCGGCAGATTCAAGTCATAAACCGACTTGGTTTAAAGGCGAATTAAAATGACAATAATCTACAAAGCCAACACAAAAAATATCCCAAGACATGAACAGAATTTTTAATATGTTTAGAATCGTGGAACAGGGAAAACAATTTACGGTTGTCGTTGTCCCGATAGATTTATTTTTGTGGGAGTATTTTGTTGTTATCTTTTGTAAATCTAATTTAATTACTTTAAAGCTTTTTACCAGACTGCAGATGTTTATTACACTATGAACATCTAATTGTTTTATACCTAGATGTTATTTCAGCGTTTTATACATCAATGTTATTTGAGTGTGCTACACAGGTAAATTTTGATATAAAGGCTTTTGAAATTGTTAAAACTTGATTTCTTACATATTAAAATATTTTCGTATGTTTTTGTTTTTTCCAGGAGTGTGACCAGGTCCATATAGACGATGTGTCTTCCGACGACAATGGTCAGGATCTGAGGTAAGTGACTGCATAGATAAACACCATTCATTACCGTACAATGACAGAGACTGTAGAATGCCTCGGTGCCTAGCTTCACGCTAACAAATAAATGTCAGTCTTTATGTGAGGAAGATAGAAAAACTTCTCTTTTCTCCGAATATTAATCATTTTTCTCCAATTTTTGTTTACACTGTTGGAAAAAAGAAAAGCTGAGACGTAGGGAAAATGATAGAATAATAGATTTAATAGATTAGTTTGTGGCTTTGGCAATATTACTTGTATAAATGGAAAATGTCAGCGCACCAAGACTGCCATCGTGCAGGCGGGTGTATGATGGATTATCGTACCCTGCGGCCCTGAAGGACTCATTATTACTAGTATAGCCACCCAGAATGGAGACAGTCACCGACAGGGCTTCACAGCTCTTCCGCTAAAGTCGGATTCCCAAGATGGCTATTAAACAGTGAATGTACATTTATATACAAATCTGATTTATCGCTTTTACTAAATGTCAAAATTATTTCTACAATTCTTTCTAAAAGTTCCTTATTGAATTTTTATTATTTTATTTTTTAATGTTCTTGTTTGGAAATCAGGATACTTAAGAAATGTTGAGCGCACCATTGATACAGTAAGGGAAGTTGGTAATTAGGAGCAAAATTGTTAATAAATATGAAATACCGTCCATCCAATCTAAAACAAGATGTATTCTATAATGCAATATACTATTGAATATTTCATTAAGTATTTGCTGGTTTCAATCCTAAAGGATGGAAACAGTTTAAATTCAGATATGATGTATAAAGCATTGTTTACAGGAAATACAGTTTGATTTTAGCTAATGAACCTTCAGTGGTGACAGGATAGGTCCGCTCTTTATATAAAAAAAATATCTTTCCACATGTTTGTCACATATCCAGTGATACAGAATATATATCTAAATATGTATTTTCAAACAAATAACAAAACAATTTAATATATACTGTAATGTCATTCTGAAACACGTCATCAATTTTTCATTCTCATCTTTATTCATTCTCATTTTATGTGTATAGGATGTATAATTTTTCCAACATTTTATCAGAAAAAATAATTTAAACAGGCTTTTTGAATATTTAACGAGGTATTGTGTATTATGTAAGACTGATTGACTGATAAATTCCACAAGTTAGCTTGTTTACATCATAGAATAAGGAAACTAGTTTTTGTTCAATATTTATGTTCAGCTTAAAACAAACAAAATAAAGCGAATTAAAAAAATCTAGACAGAGAAAAAAGCACTGTCATTTAAAAAGGGTTATACAGAAAAGAAAAAAAACACTGAGTCTATTATGGGCAAAAAAATGTTACTTTTTTTGTCATGTTAAGCGAGTATAATTTGTGGTATTTTTGGAACTGTATAGAAGGAGTGGTCTAATTGTTAGGTTGGGAAGATAACTGGTGTAACAATGCTGTCCCCCTTTGTGTTAGAAGACCCAGTCCTACCTGACTGACTGACTGCCTTTGTGAGTCTGATCAGGCTGGAGGAAGCTTGCATACTTAGGCGTAGGCATGCCACTCGTCCATCATGCCACTACAAAATATACGTACCCAAAGTCGGATGTAGACAACATTTTTCCCTCGCCTGAACAGCACTGGGCAATTATGATTAATTCTTTCACAAGTTTCTAATACACCCTATGTGAACACTTCAAACGATCACAAGCAGTGGTTGATAACCTTAGGGCGAACTGGTACTGATAAGCAGGCTTGGCGTTCCAAAATGTCTTACTTTTTATTGCCTTTCTTTTGTGGGATTTTTACAGGTTTAGATGCAGGCAGGTTTTATGCAGATGTTGTAATCTCAGCTAATATTTTTTATTTCCTTTTTATCTGTTTTTATCCTTCACAAGTTTCCTCGCAGAATTTGTTGGCTATTTGCTGGTTTATTTGGGGGGCGGAGTTCCATCAGTGAAATAGACAATGATGGACAAGAAATGATGTGTGCTCCACTCCGTTTTCAGGGCAGTAGACCTTGTATTGATGGTCCATTTTCCACACTTCAGCAAGTGGTCTGTAATCTGTAAAATTTCCGGAATGTTTTGAATTTGTTGTTGACCAGTAAAACTAAGTGACAACATGCTATGAAGTGTGGAAATTTTAATTTTCTAAGCTGTCTAGGACCTAATTAAGGAAATCCCATTCACATTAAAGCTACAAACGGGTGTCTTTGTAAAGATCCAATCCCCTACCACGGGTACATCATTGGTATGAAAACAGAATTTTTCCTTTGACAAAACGCTCCCACACGACAATGTGGTAATATTTAAATACAAAATAGTTATAAAAGAACTTTTTTTTTTTACTTTTATGTTGCAGAACAAAATGGTTTTGTAAGACGAAGATTTGTGTACAGAAATGAGGCTTTCTAAAAGTGTACTATCTCGGAGAAACATCTCTGTCTCTCTTCAAGTTTTTGTGTTTTTAAATGTTTAGTCTTTTATGCTGCCTAGCTTTGTGCAATACAATGTTGTTGATGCACAAGGCTGATATGACGGCGGCCATTTTGTGGGTTACCGAGGTCATTTAGTGGAGTGTAGGTCACAGTGTTTTAGTGTTGAACATCGGTGGTTTTAGGAGGAGGAATCAGTCAAGTTAGATACATATTCACCATACTATTAATATTTGTGGTGCGAAAACCATCAAGGGAAATTATTAGCAAAATTTTATGTATTTAAGAGGGTACATGGAATTAATTTGAAGATATGAATAGTTGAATTGTCATTATAATGCTTTGTAACGGGATATCACACATTTATGTGAAGTCAAACTGAGGTTTTCTATCCCTACAGTACCTACAACTTCGCAACAGATGGCTTCCGGGCCGCAGCAACCAACGCTAACTTGTGCCTGGCGACGGGCGTGAGGGGCGGGGTAGACTGGATGCGGAAACTTGCATTTAGATATCGGAGGCTGAAGGAGATCTATAGTAGCTACCAAAATAATGTTGGAGGTACGATGATTGAATTGTGTTTCACCCGCTTTTCTCTCTCTTTCTCTGCAGCACATACAACTTCGCGGCTGATGGGTTCCATGCAGCGGCTACGAACCCCAGTATACTAGCAGGGATGAGAGGGGGAGTCGATTGGATGAGAAAACTAGCTTTTAGATACAGAAGGATTAAGGAAATGTATAATAGTTACAGGAATAATGTGGGAGGTACGACTCTATCATTTCTTGTCCGAGATAATTAATTGTCCAATCAGATTGCTTCCATACTTTTTACCTGTGATAGGCCTGTGGGTAACATCATTACAAATTTGGGATGGTATGACTTTTTAACTAGTTTGTCAATTTGAATTAGAACTTTTTCAGATATGTCCCTAATATGTAAAATTTGTTTTAAAAATTATGGCCGATGGGGACGGAGGTGGGCTTAATAACAGTTACTGGTTTATCACAGGTAAATTACAGTGGAGTTTAGTGGTACGTGCATTAGAACTGTTTTGAGTATTGATTACCATGCAGTTGATTAAACATCTTGTTCAATAGAATTGCAGCTGTTTTTAAGAAAGAAAAATACCCCAAATAAATATGTATGATTCTCATGGCTCACTTACAATCTTGATTTGTTTTCATTGTAAAACCTATATCATCAAGGCCCTGCATTGAACCTGATCAGAATTATATTTTGACAGATTTGTGGTTGTTATAACCTGTAATTAAATAAATATGCTGCTATTTGTTTTACAAGTTTAAGCAAAAACAATCACCAATGATGATATATGAATGTTACATTTAATGGCAGATTTCCATCTTTGCTGATTTTTTTTAATATAATATAGTTTTGAATTCAGTTTGCCGGCTAAAATAAATGTAACCTGGTTATTTTGTGTCGGCAGGTCTGATTGGTCCACAGAAACGGGAACAGTGGTTACAGCTACGCCAGGAGATTGAGGCAATGACAGACAACTGGCTTACACTGGCACTCAAATCTCTACAAATCATCAACTCACGGTACGTATCTACTGACTTACACTGGCTAGTAACTCACGGTACATATCTACTGACTAACACTGTCTAGTAACTCACGGTACGTATCTACTGACTTACACTGGCTAGTAACTGACGCTACGTATCTACTGTCTTACACTGGCTAGTAACTGACGGTACATATCTACTGACTAACACTGGCTAGTAACTCCCGCTACGTATCTACTGAATTACACTGGCTAGTAACTCATGCTACGTATCTACTGACCTACACTGGCTAGTAACTGACGGTACATATCTACTGACTAACACTGGCTAGTAACTCGCGCTACGTATCTACTGACTCACACTGTCTAGTAACTCAAGGTACGTATCTACTGACTTACACTGGCTAGTAACTCACGCTATGTATCTACTGACTTACACTGGCTAGTAACTCATGCTACGTATCTACTGACTTACACTGTCTAGTAACTCACGCTACGTATCTACTGACTTACACTGGCTAGTAACTCACGCTACGTATCTACTTACTTACACTGGCTAGTAACTCACGGTAAGTATCTACTGACTTACACTGGCTAGTAAATCACGCTATGTATCTACTGACTTACACTGGCTAGTAACTCACAGTACGTATCTACTGACTTACACTGTCTAGTAACTCACGCTCCGTATCTACTGACTTACACTGGCTAGTAACTCAAGGTACGTATCTACTGACTTACACTGGCTAGTAACTCACGGTATGTATCTACTGACTTACACTGACTAGTAACTCACGGTACGTATCTACTGACTTACACTGGCTAGTAACTCACGGTACGTATCTACTGACTTACACTGTCTAGTAACTCACGCTACGTATCTACTGACTTACCCTGGCTAGTAACTCCCGCTACGTATCTACTGACTTACACTGGCTAGAAACTCACGCTACGTATCTACTGACTTACACTGGCTAGTAACTCACAGTACGTATCTACTGACTTACACTGTCTAGTAACTCACGCTACATATCTACTGACTTACACTGGCTAGTTACTCACCATACATATCTACTGACTTACACTTGCTAGTAACTCACGGTACGTATCTACTGACTTACACTGGCTAGTAACTCAAGAAACGAAGCTACTTACTTGCACTAAAATGCTTGACTCACTACTGATAATCAACTCATGGTACATATCTACTAGCTAAAACTATAACGCTGGAATCAGAAGCAATCATCAAAGCAGAGTAAAATGCTATTGGCATAAACTATTACGATATGACGTGGCTACTGGTTAAAACTAAAGCGCTAGAATCACTAACTCTCATCAACTTGAGACACAAAGCTAATGACTTACTCTAGAACTTGAGAATTGCTGCAGATCATCATCTCACTATACATAGAGACTGTATTGCTCTTAAAAGGAAATTAACAAAATAAAAAAATGGTATTTTTCATATCATTGAGAAATTATCAATTGTGTAGTTCCGGTCCTTTTTATCCTTGCATGCAAAATAACAAAAAATATCTTTGTTATGAACATCTCTTTGTGTTTGCAATACAAATATTATTTCTAAATAATACCCATATAATTCAGTTTGGTTATGAAATTTTTATTTGAAGATAGAATATAGAGTGAATTTGAAAATCTGTTTTATATTTGTTTCAGGTCAAACTGTGTGAATGTGTTGGTGACGACTACCCAGCTAGTACCAGCCATGGCCAAGGTTCTTCTCTACGGGCTGGGGGGAGTGTTCTCTATAGAAAACATTTACAGCGCCACAAAGATAGGTAAGTCATCGCCAAGGTTTCTCCTGTGTCAAAGGTAGACTCCAGGGCCCGATTTCATGAAACCGTTTTGTCAATGATTTGGAAACCTTGTGAAGAGACTTGAAGCCAAATGATGTTTCTATGTTTACATTTGAATTTTTGATCATTTGAAATGATTAAAGAGAGTTACAAGAAAGTTGCTTTGAGCACAGAATCCATGCTTGAGCATGAGAACGGTTTCATGAATACGGGCCCTGGTTAACTACGTATAGTGCGTGTGAAACATTGTTACGTTAAAGAAAAAGGACAGAAACTTTTGATCTGTAAATTATTCCTGTGAGCTATTTTCAGGGTATATATATGAAATCTTCATTGAGCTGTATTGTTGTAGGAAATAGGTCTATCTGATTCCTCCATTACACCATTGTTTTGTAGATCTAACAACAATTTTGACCTTATTCAGAAGTTATTTTATAAAGTTTAATTACCGCACCACTAAGTCTATTTACAGTAATGGTAATCAATGGATATGGTTATTTTTCAGGCAAAGATAGCTGTATTGACAGGATAGTAGCCCGATTCGGTAGGAAATGTACATACGTCGTCGTTGGTGATGGTCGAGATGAAGAGCAGGCAGCTAAGCAGGTATGTAACAGCAGTGCTAATTGGTTAATTCCGAAAAACAGAAAATAATCGCAAACAATTTGTGCAGTGATTCTGTAAAAGTTATATACAGAAGACTTTTTTTCTGGAGATTCCAAACGATTACCCAGTGAAATTAAAAAGTTGTAGAGATGTGAACGATAGGAGTAAATGTTTTTATTATAATGATGTAAATTCCTGTACAGAGTTTGTGAAAGTGTGAAGTAATTATGATATGTCCTGTTGGGATCATTATACAGTAGTTGCTTTTATTCTATATACATAACAAATCACTGAAGTCTGTCTGTTTGTCTTTTGTAGATGAATTTCCCGTTCTGGCGAGTGAGTAACCATTCCGACATAGCAGCCCTAAATCATGCGCTGGAACTCAACTACCTCTAACAAAGGATTACTACCTAACCCAGCATTATCATATAGCCCAACGGTGTCCTCACAGAGTACAGCTGGACAAACTCTCTCAAACACAAACAGTTTGTGTGCAAACGGACATACTCTTGTTAAAACAAGGACATGCAGGCAGTTTGTGCACTGACAAATGGACATACTCTTTGTTAAAATATGGAGATGCAGACAATTTGTGCATGGATATATGGGTGGACTGTTTCTTGTAAACATGGAAAGGCCTGGTCATTTTTGTGCGAACAAACAGACACACTCAGATATGCTTCTATTGAACTCTGAGAGGCAGAAGGTTGTGTACAGATAGGAGTGAATAGTTTTGGGAGAACCCATTGTTTCTTGTTATCAGAGTCTGTGAGGCATTTGAACTGTCAAACACTACTGCCTTGTTGGTTCAATATTTACGATGGATGTTGCGGAATTCTCATTGGAGTCCCAGGGACTGTAGACAGGGCTATCAACATTACTTGACCATGAATACTCAGGATGCAACACTGTATATGGTGTTAGAATGGGACGACTATAGTCTTATTGGACCTTGCTTCGTCCCATTTGGTATTTGCTACATACATTACTAGTGCATGCTGGGACATATTGACAGGAGATTGGTGCAGTGTGTTCGGTTAGAGGTGATGAAGAGACTATTTACACAGCCTTCATTGTCACTGCTGTGGTGTGAACTAGATGCTATGTGCCTGGAATACCGAGCTGAACTGGGATATCACTGAGGAACATGTTTCACTTGGAAAAAGGATGTAATCCAAACCATGTTATTGTAGTGTGGATTTTCCATGGTCTTTGCCTTGTACTGTACCAGTTCAAGGCCTCCTCCCTATTATTATACACCTTACGATATTCTGTACTGAACGTTTCCATAGCGATCTGGTACAGCACTGCAAGGATACATTCGCTCAACAAGAGATTCCAAGTCATACTATATATATGACCCATCCAACATGTGTGGAAGTCTAATCAAGGCCCTGCCCCTCCCCAGCCTCCCTCCCCTTCAACCATCACCCACAATGGACAAAGTGGTATGTGATTGTTTTTTATGAAAATGTTGTTATTGACTAAATGGCTGATGACTTCACACAGAGGTTTTCTGGAAGGACATGACCAGCTCACATACTTAATGTTGTGTCCTGAGGGTGTTACTACCAGACATGGTGCTTTACATCTTGCACATCATCTTCTGTTCATCAGAGTGACTTCCCCCTTGTCATTGCTGCAACACCATCCACTGACCGTTAGAATAACTCCTTGTCATTGCCATGACAACATATCCTTCTGGACAACAGAGTGACCTGCCCTTGTCATCACCATGACGACATCCTCTGATCATGGCAGTGTCGTGATTCCTTTATCGTGGCTACAACATAATATCATCTCCTGATTGTACACTTTAATTTACGGAGACTATTCGTAACATTTTCACATCATGTACCCAGCAACAATCCATATCATGATCGTTATGGTTTTTGTTTGTATATGTGCCTCTGTTGGGGAAGGTGTCAAGTTGATTCTTTTTATCTTCAGAAGTGAGTGTTTCTGAAGAATAATGTGAAAAGTGATGATGTATTTTGTGTACTGATGTCATGTAAGAAGGCTGTGACAAGCCAATGTTGTAGTTTATACCCTAAACAAGAAATGTTCACACCTGCCCTTGAGTTTATATCATAAGGGGGGCCTTATATTATGTTTTACCTCGTATGGAATTTGTTCAGAAATGCTGTTTATGGGCAAAGCAGAGAGATAATGTATTTGTACTTTTCCTAAATATTCTTCACCGATGCAATCAAGTAATATCAGCATCCAACACTTATACTTACTCTAATATAAAAACTTTTTTAGTTAATTCACCATACCTTCTGTACGAAATATACAGAATAGAAAAATAGTCTGTCATGATGAATATCAGCGAAATAGCTTTGTAAAGAAAATATGCTGGAAATTGAACCAAATAACACAGCTTCATTTGGAAAAAAATGGGGCACCGGCAGTCCTTCCCAAATAGATCTACAGATTTTTTAGACTCTCCAGCATGTAATATAATGGTCCCTCTAAGAATATTCTATACTTAAAATTTCCAATTGATGATATTTTTAAGCTTTAATGATTATTGTATTACATAAAATGATTTTATTATATAATCTTATATTAAAGTCTTTTTACTCAAAACCTCTGGTTAATACCAAAGAATTAAAAAAGATTAAAGTATTTTCTTTCTTCTTTTACATGGTTAAATGGCAGATTCCTTTGCGAATGGCCAAAGCATTTTGTATATTGTACGAATGGTAATTTTACAAAGACTTGAGACGGGAAGTTTGACAATTGCATCTATTGCATGAACTAATATAATGAATTTCCTGAGAGTAACGTTTAATAGCATATATATTTTTGGGCTTATGACTGTGTATATGAATGAATTAAGGGTATGTATATATTTAACAAGTTCGTACAAAAAGGTTCATTTATATTGAAAAGTTTATTTAAATGATAAAATAAGGTTGAAACTGTATCAATTCAACTCTTGAAATCAAGGTAGCCTTCTTAAGCCAGCTTGATAATAATGATTAACTTCAAAAATATTTCATTTAACTTTGTTGATATAAGCTTTCTGATAAATATCACCATTTTATTTCGGAAAAACACTAAGCATTATAACATTTCTGATAAATGATGGCATTTATCTGATGGAAATATAAGAACATGTAACCAAATGACAAATAATGCAATAATAGTGTATATGAGAAAAATGATTATTTTACAAACTTATTGTCAGTATTACATGCAGAAGACAATCAATCAGCAGTCAAGCTTTAAGGGGACGGGGGAATTTTTAATATTTGTCCTAAACTGTATAGCACATATATCTTACTATTAAAGGAAAATATTGCAGGTCTGAAAATCGTAACCACTTGATAGTGGGCAGGGTAAACTGAAGTCGTTAAGTATCATTGGTGGAGTAAGCTTGGCTTTTCCTTCAGTAAGTTTGGTGCCTGTCCACAGTGCTAAGTTCTGTGCACAGGAAGATAAGATTATTTCTCAATCAGCAATCTACGGAGGATTTTGTTATAACAGATGTAGTTTCTATATATATATTTACCCGTTCATTGTATCGTTGTTGACAAACCAATTCTACATGTGTTTTGACCACATATTTATTTTCTACACTGTGACTATCTTACTAGATATTTCCAGATGTACTCGTTTGAAGCTTGAGAGAGTCAACTTTGCATATGAACACAAATTGTTGTTACGTTTAACGATTGTCAGCCAATCAGGTCTTAGGTCACTAGCAGTCCGTGGTGAACTTGGTATATAGTAATGCTAGTTTGAGATGTTACTTTCCGTAAATTTTTCATAAAATATTACTAATTAATTAGTGAAACACAAAACTCAATAATATATTTAGGAGTTGAGATATTGAAATATTTTTGGGGGCTTAAATATGGCTACCAGTTGTATATGAATATGTGGTTTTGTGTGATGAAATCAGCACACATATTTATATACAGTTTTGCACAAAAATAATATATTTATATATTACTGGAATAATACAGTTGTCCTGACAACCACCATTCATCTAATTTGTAGATGTCCTTTAACAGTTTTGTTGACAGTATTTTCATTACCATAGATTACCTGTAATAACCCCATGCTCAGGGTTTTAAACGACCCACCCCTCTCCCAATAAACAAATTTTACATATGGAATGCAATTCTCTAATCAAACTTTGTTTAAATAAAGATAATAATTTTCTAATTAAAGAATATGCCTAGTATCAAATTTAACCCTTTTGTGAGTACTAGGTGATACCCTGGGTTTATTACAGGTAAAATACGGTACAAGTATAAGGTGGACGTTTGTGTGAGATTAATTTGATGCCTAACCAAAGAAACTACAATAATACTCTCACAGAAACGCTGTGGCTGACTCTGGCCACCACTATTGAGTGTTTTTGCCATTTTCAACCGTGATGTGAACTTTGTCTTACACATAATTTTCATTGTCCAATCAAATTAGAGATGTTTTTAATCATTAATGAACAAAATTGCTTTTATTTCATGAATAAACAATATCATTGTAATACACTGTCTTTGATTGGTCGGGTTTGTTTTCATTGGTCCAATGAAATGCCCTGTTATATGGGGCTGGCCATCCATTGTTATGTATGGTGTATGTGTTGTAATGTATGAATGGTTTGTGTGTGTCTCATGGAGACACAGCTAAGTCACCAATAAAGACAGATGTATGAATGTTAATCGTCTTTGTTTTATACTTCTTAAAATTCTTATTCAAGCACATTGGATTTATTCGACCATGTCTGCAATGGAACAACATAGTCCATTAGTTCATGATCAATTTAATATTAGATATTTATGCACGTGCAACATTCTTTTAAAAGCCTCCCCGTAAGACAAGTAAGCTATGTTTACCTTGCAATTGACTAGGATAAATCAGATTTGTCGAAACACGTGTACACACATCTCAAATTTCTACATAAATCCACATCACACTAACAATTGTGATCACTTGTTTAGTGTCTCGAAACTATGACATCAGCTGTGATGAAATGAAAAGGAGTGTACATCATGTAACAAATGTTTTCATGTGCAAATAAAAGAACAGACTAATTTATATAATTAGGTAATTTAGGTCAAACTATAGGCACTTAAGTATACTTACAAATGGGTAATTACAAATTTCATGTTTATGTGGTAGAAAACAAATTTCCAGTTTTTTTAAACTCAACCCATAGTTCTTGATTTTGAGCTTTAGATGTCAAATGAAAACTTCTGAAATCTTTTCATCAAATTGTATGAAATTAGAACGCAACTTTTGTCCAAAATTCCCATTTCAATTATTTACAGAAGGGTCAATTCAATATAGAGTGGGATATTTTTTTTAAAAGACATGAACGAAAAAATTCTTAGAGACAAAATATGAAACTGGATGAAAATATAACAGGTTTGGCTAGGGTAAACACCCACGATTAAATAGAAAATAACTGGGCAGCACTGGGACTATTCCAGCCCTGACTAAATGGAAAATAACTGGGCAGCACTCGGACTTATCTGTTACAGAAACTGCCCGATGTTACCTGGCAATACACAAGTGGAAAAATGGAAAATAACTGGGCAGCACTGTGACTTATCCAGCCCTGATTAAATGGCAAATAACTGGGCAGCACTGGGACTATTCCAACCCTGATTAAATGGAAAATAACTGGTCAGCACTGGGACTTATCCAGCCCTGATTAAGTGGAAAATAACTGGGGAGCACTGGGACTATTCCAGCCCTGATTAAATTGAAAATAACTGGGCAGCACTGGGATTACCCAGCCCTGATTAAATGCAAAATAACTGGGCAGCACTGGGACTTATCGAACCCTGGTTAAATGGAAAATAACTGGGCAGCACTGTGACTTATCCAGCCCTGATTAAATGGCAAATAACTGGGCAGCACTGGGACTTTTGTCCAAAATTCCCATTTCAATTATTTACAGAAGGGTCAATTCACTATAGAGAGTGAGATTTTTTTGAAAAGACATGAACGAAAAAATTCTTAGAGACAAAATATGAAACTGGATCAAAATATAACAGGTTTGGCTAGGGTAAACACCCACGATTAAATAGAAAATAACTTGGCAGCACTGGGACTATTCCAGCCCTGACTAAATGGAAAATAACTGGGCAGCACTGGGCCTATTCCAGCCTTGATTAAATGAAAAATAACTGGGCAGCACTGGGCCTATTCCAGCCTTGATTAAATGAAAAATAACTGGGCAGCACTGGGACTTTTGTCCAAAATTCCCATTTCAATTATTTACAGAAGGGTCAATTCACTATAGAGAGTGAGATTTTTTTGAAAAGACATGAACGAAAAAATTCTTAGAGACAAAATATGAAACTGGATCAAAATATAACAGGTTTGGCTAGGGTAAACACCCACGATTAAATAGAAAATACCTGGGCAGCACTCGGACTATTCCAGCCCTGATTCAATGGAAAATAACTGGGCAGCACTGTGACTTATCCAGCCCTGATTAAATGGCAAATAACTGGGCAGCACTGGGACTTAGCCAGCCTTGATTAAATGGAAAATAACTGTGCAGCACTGGGACTTATCCAGCCCTGATTAAGTGGAAAATAACTGGGGAGCACTGGGACTATTCCAGCCCTGACTAAATGGAAAATAACTGGGCAGCACTCGGACTTATCTGTTACAGAAACTGCCCGATGTTACCTGGCAATACACAAGTGGAAAAATGGAAAATAACTGGGCAGCACTCGGACTTATCTGTTACAGAAACTGCCCGATGTTACCTGGCAATACACAAGTGGAAAAATGGAAAATAACTGGGCAGCACTCGGACTTATCTGTTACAGAAACTGCCCGATGTTACCTGGCAATAAATGGAAAATAACTGGGCAGCACCTGGACTTATCCAGCCCTGATTAAATGGCAAATAACTGGGCAGCACTGGGACTATTCCAACCCTGATTAAATGGAAAATAACTGGTCAGCACTGGGACTTAAACAGCCCTGTTTAAATGGAAAATTACTGGGCAGCACTGGGACTTATCCAGTCTTGATTAAATGGAAAATAACTGGGCAGCACTCGGACTTATCTGTTACAGAAACTGCCCGATGTTACCTGGCAATAAATGGAAAATAACTGGGCAGCACTCGGACTTATCTGTTACAGAAACTGCCCGATGTTACCTGGCAATACACAAGTGGAAAAATGGAAAATAACTGGGCAGCACTGGGATTACCCAGCCCTGATTAAATGCAAAATAACTGGGCAGCACTGGGACTTTTGTCCAAAATTCCCATTTCAATTATTTACAGAAGGGTCAATTCACTATAGAGAGTGAGATTTTTTTGAAAAGACATGAACGAAAAAATTCTTAGAGACAAAATATGAAACTGGATCAAAATATAACAGGTTTGGCTAGGGTAAACACCCACGATTAAATAGAAAATACCTGGGCAGCACTCGGACTATTCCAGCCCTGATTCAATGGAAAATAACTGGGCAGCACTGGGACCTATCCAGCCCTGATTAAATGGAAAATACCTGGGCAGCACTGGGACTTATCCAGCTCTGATTAAATGTAAAATAACTGGGCAGCACTGGGACTTAAATAGCCCTGATTAAATGGAAAATTACTGGGCAGCACTGCGACTTTTCCGGCCCTGATTAAATGGAAAATACCTGGGCAGCACTGGGACTTATCCAGTCTTGATTAAATGGAAAATAACTGGGCAGCACTGGGACTTAAACAGCCCTGATTAAATGGAAAATTACTGGGCAGCACTGGGACTTTTCCGGCCCTGATTAAATGGAAAATAACTGGGCAGCACTGGGACTTATCCAGCCTTGATTAAATGGAAAATAACTGGGCAGCACTCGGACTTATCTGTTACAGAAACTGCCCGATGTTACCTGGCAATACACAAGTGGAAATGAAGACATCTACAATTAAATTGTCAGCTTAGTTCAGGATCATAATATCATCTTGGACCAAATTTCAGTGTTGTTTAATTTTGCAATGCAATGTCAAAAAATTATTTTCAAAAGATGGCCATGCAAATATTAAGAATAGATGTGATTTCACTCAAAGATATATCTGGCCAAACTCGAGATATTTCAAATTTAAGATAAAATTTACTCTGTTTAATCATCCTAGAGAATTGAAAGCATATACCCTCCAAATATTGTTGGCCTACAGTCAAGCATACATTCAGGATATTACTCTCTAAATTATTGGCCCACCATTCAGGATATTTCTCTCTAAATTGTTGGCCCAACATTCAGGATATTACTCTCTAAATTATTGGCACACCATTCAGGATATTATTCTCTAAATTATTGGCTCACCATTCAGGATATTACTCTCTTAATTGTTGGCCCATCATTCAGGATATTACTCTCTAAATTATAGGCCTGTCATTCAGAATATTACTCTCTAAATTATTGGCCGACCACTCAGGATATTACTCTCTGAATTATTGGCCCAACATTCAGGATATTACTCTAAATTATTGGCCCTTCATTCAGGATATTACTTTCTAAATTGTTGGCCCATTATTCAGGATATTACTCTCTAAATTATTGTTCTACCACTCAGGAAATTACTCTCTAAATTATTGGCCCACCATTCAGGACATTACACTAAATTATTGGCCCATCATTCAAGATATTGCTCTACATTATTGGCTCACCATTCAGGATATTATTCTCTAAATTGTTGGCCCAACATTCAGGATATTACTCTCTAAGTTATAGGCCTGTCATTCAGGATATTACTCTCTAAATTGTTGGCCCACCATTCAGGATGTTACTCTCTAAATTATTGGCCCATCATTCAGGACATTACACTAAATTATTGGCCCAAGATATTACTCTAAAGGATTGGCCCACCATATAGGATGTTACTCTCTAAATTGTTGGCCCACCATTCAGGATATTGCTCTAAATTATTGGCCCATCATTCAGGATATTACTCTTTCAATTATTGGCCCATCATTCAGGATATTACTCTCTAAATTATTGGCCCATCATTCCGGATATTACTCTTTAAATTATTGGCCCACCATTCAGGATAGTACGCTCTAAATTATAGGCCTGTCATTCAGAATATTACTCTCTAAATTGCTGGCCCACCATTCAGGATATTACCCTCTAAATTATTGACATTACACTAAATTATTGGCCAACCATTAAAGATGTTACTCTTAATTATTTGCCCATCATTCAGGATATTGCTCTACATTATTGGCTCATCATTCAGGATATTGCTCTCCGTGATTGGCTCAAAATTCAGGATATTCCTCTTAATTATTGGCTCAACATTCAGGATGTTACTCTCTAAATTATTGGCACATCATTCAGGACATTACACTAAAATATTGGCTCACCATTCTGGATATTATTCTCTAAATTGTTGGCCCAACATTCAGGATATTCCTCTAAATTATTGGCTCAACATTCAGGATATTACCCTCTAAATTATTGGCCCAACCTTCAGGATATTACTCTCTAAGTTATTTGCACACCATTCAGTACATTACCCTAAATTATTGGCCCACCATTCAGGAGATTACTCTAAATTATTGGCCCATCAGTCCGGATATTACTCTCTAAATTATTGGCCCATCATTCAGGATATCACTCTCTAAATTATTGGCACACTATTCAGGATGTTACTCTCAAAATTATTGGCACACCATTCAGGATATTGCTCTAAATTAT